TATATATATATATATATATATATATATAAGCAGTTCCATCACGTAAAAGAAGTATAAGAAATCTATACTCCCCGGTCCACTATAAGTGATTTTTTGGCGTTTTTCACACACATTAAAGAATTTACCTTTTAGCATTAATTAACAATGAAATTGACCATATTAATCTTAATTTGCTCATTGGAATTATAACAAACTACTCTTAGGTTCTTTAGTTCAAGGGCAACTTTGGAAAGAAGAAGTTAATTCCTTCTTGATATATGAAAAAATCAAATATTGTGGACCATAAAAAAAGGCTAAAAAATCATTTAAAGTGAACCGGAGGGAGTAATGTTAAATTAGCGTATGAATGTTGTGTGCAGCATTACTCCACGAGGATTAATTAATAATATTTTTACTTATCATTCATGTGATTTGAACTTTCAGTCAATTGGTAATAAAGATATTTCACCACCCGAGAGAGACATAAGTTATCGAGCGGTGATGTTCACTTAGCTTTCTAGCATGATTTGATCACTAACTCGTAAAATTAAGGTCAAGATGCTACCACTTAAACCAACCTCGGCTCGCCTGTTAAAGTGAAATTGGGCCTCAATGTTGGCATAACATTGGAAGCACTACTTGATCCTTAATTCCTTATTGCTTAATTTGGCAAAAGATTGACTTCTACAAGAATAATTAGATCTTTAATGCCAAATTTAAGCAACAAAGCGACCTCGACTATTTTTCAAAAGGAAAAACATCCAATCCTTTTAACATAAAATATATCCTATGAGAAATGGAAAAAAAAAAAGAAGCAAGAAACCGACTACGACAAATGTGGTACATTTGTTGTTATATAGGATATGTTAAAAAATTCAAGGTTTTGATATAATATATGGTCACACGTTTGAGTTTTACACGAATTTTGAATGACGACGAATCAAGTTTCCTATGTGTAGATGGTGACCTACGTAATTTATACCCTTAAGACCAAGAAATTTAGGAGAAAATAGTTTGAGCTATCCAGTTTTCGGATTGGTAATTAAAAAAATAGTCGACGTTTGTAAAATTATTGAAAATAACCATTATTTTGCTGAAACATGGAAAGTTTTAGTATAATATACTGGATTATGGAGCTCTTGCGTATAAACTTCCAGCATATTATGTTGGAACTACCGCACACGGAAATTTGTTCCAGCATAATATGATGGACATTAATGGAGTTCATGCGTTATGAACTTTCAGCATATTATGTTGGAACTCCAGCACATTATGCTGGATTTTTTCCCGATTTTTAAGGCTGCTTTTGTTCAGATTTTATTTTTATATGAAAAAATGGCTAAATTTCGATTGTGGCTATTTTTCAATTACTAATTATAAATCTGGCTATGATTTCTTCCTGAAATCTGGTGCTTAACCCGCATTTTGCATGGCCCTTGCCTTAATCATCATTACACTGTTTGACATATGAAAGGAGAAAAAGGAATTACTGAAATTGTAATATTGTACTTAATGGATTCTGAATTCTACGCAAAGTAAAAAATAGTAAAAGGTGTATTGAATTCAACCGGAGTTAGCGGTCACATTTACTACAAACTTAAGAAATAGACAAAAAAAAAAAAAACTTGAAAAACAAGCCTCACGTCACAGTTCCATTTATTACATCACTAAAGAATCCAAGCCCCTTTTAGAATCTTTTAGTGTGTTGGTTGTCCAGTGTATATAAATAAGACATATATGACTGCCATTTTCTCTTTATGTGACCAGTTTTAGCATTAAAAGAAAGAAGAGAGAGAGAGAGAGAGAGAGTGAAGAGAGTAGAAATGGAGAGGAGTTTAAGTGTTTCAATGGGAGGAGGATTTGATGATACTTCCAAGTTTGATGATGATGGTCGCCCCAAACGAACTGGTTTGTATCCCTTCACTTTTTTTTCCTCCTTGTTTTTTTGCCCTTTTCAAACACTTCTCACTAGATTCCTCTTCATATATATACTCTCTTTTTTTAACTCCTCCCTCCCCTTTGATTTCCCCTTTAATCCCTTTTGTTGGAAGTGATTCAAACTCACAATCTGCGTGGAATTGTTACTGACTATGAGCAATCCCTCTTATCTCTCCGTATACATGCATTCTTAGAAAATCTTTGAAATTTCTATAAGTCAGATTTTATCATGCAAATCCATACAAAAAACTTTTTCTTTTCTCAGATCATCTTTTTCACATGCACTTATGAAAAAAGTTGCAAAATTCACTCAGGAGGCGACAAGAAGAATCTTCAAACACATAAAAGAGAAAAAAAGACAAGGAGATAGAAAAAGTTACTAAAAGGATGTAGCTGAAGATTGTTTCAAAAAAAGAAACCCAAAGAAATGGGAATTAAGTAGGTGAATTCTATTTACATTATATTTAAAAAAAAAAATAGGCGAATTCTGTGCCTTGTTGAGCGGTGTTATTCGATACCTATGGATATGATGGCCAGACATGAAAGTTGGTTTTGAGCAACACCGTTACTAAATATTTTGGCTTCTGCAAAATCTTAGTGAGATTTTTTGCAAATTAAAAGCAAAGTGATTATAATTAATTTTGTGAAATTACAGGAACGGTATTGACTACAAAGTGATTATAATTAATTTTGTGAAATTACAGGAACGGTATTGACTACAAAGTGATTATAATTAATTTTGTGAAATTACAGGAACGGTATTGACTACAAGTGCCCATATCATAACAGCGGTGATAGGATCAGGAGTGTTATCTTTGGCATGGGCTACAGCACAGTTGGGATGGATAGCAGGACCAGTTGCTCTCGTTGCTTTCTCAGTCATAACTTGGTTCACTTCTCTCCTTCTTGCTGACTGTTATCGCGCCCCTGATGGCTCTCGCAACTACACCTATATGGATGCTGTTCGTTCCCATCTCGGTACGAATTCTATGCATTATTGACAGTGTAAAAAATATTACGATTGTGTTGTTTTCGTTTCCAACGCATCGAAAATTTGTGTTATGTTGAATGTATTTATTTTTACGTGCTGAGATCAATGTGACATTTATCTTTAAGATGCATGTTTCTCGAGGTAAGAGTTTGGTCATGTTTTTGAGTTAAACATTAATTATTTCGCTTGATAAGTTAGATTTGTAACGGCTTAAACAATCAAGTTTTGATACTTTTTCAGTTGAAGCGATAATGGTCAACGGGAATATTTGACATTGTCTTTGAAATGTATCTTTGGTCATAGATCCGCAAAATCTAACAATTTTTAAGGTCTTCAAAAAATAAGAGAAAAATAACACTAATTTAATTTGATTTTATGGGGCTAAGAAACAAAATAAAACTTGAGCCGTAATGTGGATCCTAACAAGTTATTTCATTCAAGATAAAATGAAAATAACAAAATTAAATAGTGTTAAAATATAAAAATATATTTTAGACCATAATTAAAAAAAATAATGTGCCACATTAATCTTTTTAGACCAAAAATCAGGCACGTCAATTTCCCAGGAGAACAAAAAAGAGAAGGGTTGTTGGTTGTGGTCATTAATTACAATTGAGTATTCTTTGCATAAAGCCATTGTTGGTGATAAGGATTTCATTAATGATTCACTTATCTTCTTTCGTTATGTTTCTGCCTAGACTTTGCCGTCCCATTCTTTGTTTCTGACTACAATTTTAACCATTTCTCAATGAGTTATTGTCCTTTTCTATTTTTATTTTTATTTTAAAGAAAAAATGGATCGACAAGGGACAAATCTTAACATGAAGGAGGACATAAAATGTTTTAAAGAGTACGAATAATTACACCCGAGTTCATTAAGTAAAATAAATGCACTCTAAATAGTTGCGTATTTCATGATGAAAAATGGCATGTAAACATACTAAAATACATGTATAGCTAAGCAGCAGTGTCGATGATCATGAAAATACATTGTCAACGTCAAAGGCGGATCCAGGATTCCAAAAAGATGTGTGCACTATTATAAAGAGGTGAATTTAAAATTTATATTTGACGGGTTCAGCCTTTAAAAATTCTTTCCATGAATCCATTAGCATTTAGAAATTATAGGTTAAAATTAATTTTTTTTTCTTATAAATTTATTGATTTATAACATATGTAGCTATACTCCATATCAAAAATACTAAGATCATTGAACCATGCTACATTATCCACTGCTATTAATTTTAATTATTTAAAATTTTGTGATGACAAAGGGAGATGAGGATTTCAACTTGTTAGATTTGAGAATGTGGAATGAATAAACCAATAAAAAAATAAAGGAAAAAAGAAAAAATACTTAATAAAAACGCAAGAGGGGCACTAGACATGCCTAAAACTGATAACTGAGAACAAAAACTCTAACTTCAAATGTAAAGGCGTACCCAATAATTATTGAACCATAGTATTCTTTGAGCTTGAATGCACACTTGTATATTTAAATAATGTCAATAATATTATTATATATGGTATATAAAGAGAAGCATGGGTTCATGTGCCTCATGCTCCAACACATAGATTAGCTGCACTTAGAGTAAGAAGCAATGAACGTTTTTTCTTTTTCTCAAAGTAGTAGTAGTTCAAACATCCCTTATTAGAGATTTTGCATTGTATAAAGTATAAACGAGATTCAGATTCACAGATCTCTAAATATTTATTGTGCCGTATTATTTTCTACGGATGCAGGAGGAATGAAAGTTCAGCTATGTGGAATAGCTCAATATAGTAATCTTGTTGGCATAACCATTGGATATGCAATCACCACATCCATCAGCATGGTGTAAGAATATTTTTATAGTACAATTTTTATAGGCTAATTTGTTTAGTACACAATCATAATCATTCATGATTAATTCTATGTTTTTCTTTCAGGGCAATTAAAAGATCAAATTGCTTTCATAAGCATGGTCATGCTGCTGGTTGTCATGAGTCAAATAATCCTTTCATAATTATATTTGGGATTTTCCAAATTATTCTAAGCCAAATCCCAAACTTTCACAAGCTTTCATTTCTCTCCCTCATTGCTGCTGTTATGTCTTTTGCTTATTCTTTCATTGGACTTGGTCTCTCTATTGCCAAGATTGCAAGTTAGTATCATTTCCAACATGTTCTATTCTTAATTTTTAAGCTTTATATTCTATTCACTGACAGTGTAAAAAAAAAAAAAAAATTACACACAATCAACCTGCTGTAAAAGGTGATCGCATAGTGTAATGTTTTTCACAGTGTTAAGCGTATAAAAGTTAAGCCTTTATTTTTAATGTTTTTCTTTTTCTTGATGGTTTACAAATGTTTTGTTATCTGACATGGAAGATGATGGAGTAAATGGAGACACGAGCTTAACAGGAACACGAATTGAAAAGGAATTGTCAGGCACAGACAAGATGTGGAACACCTTCTCTGCTCTTGGAGATATTGCCTTTGCCTATGCTTTCTCTACTGTTCTTATTGAAATTCAGGCAATGCATATTTCTCTTAACAACCACTAGCTAAGACCAGTTTTCTAAACTATTTTATCTAGCCACTTAATAATGTTTTGTGACCAACTGAATCAACAGGACACACTGAAATCCCATCCAAGAGAGAATCAGTACATGAAAAGGGCTAGCTGTATTGGTATCTCTGTGTCAACAATATTTTACATGCTCTGTGGACTTATTGGGTATGCTGCATTTGGAAACAAAGCTCCTGGAAACTTTTTAACAGGATTCGGTTTCTATGAACCTTTCTGGCTTGTTGATTTCGCTAATGTCTGCATTGTCGTTCATCTTGTTGGAGCTTACCAGGTAACATCAAACATAACAAACATCTCTAGTAATTTTTTTCCCTATCTTTTCTTATACCAGCACAAATACCGGATAAATCTAGCCCGGTGACTAGGAATGTGTTTGTCTATGTATTGAAGTGATGAGTTCGGAAACAAGGGTCCTTAGGCAGATGGAATAAATCACCTAGCGTATTTTGATTCTGCTGGGATTTGAACTCTGGTCCCCTATGGTTTTTATCCCATTTCTTTGACCGCTTGGTCATATCCTTGGTACAGGCGTGACACGTCTAGTGTCTAACATAACAGATCAGTTTAAATCCAATGTCAAGCTCAGTTTGATAATATGTTTGCAGGTGTTCTGTCAACCAATATTTGCATTTGTAGAAGGTTGGAGCAAACAGAAATGGCCAGAAAGTAAATTCATAACAAGAGAATATATGATTAACCTTTCACCCTTGGGGCTGTTCCCTTTCAGTTTTTACAGGCTGGTGTGGAGAACTGCATATGTGATATTCACAACCATATTAGCCATGCTATTCCCATTCTTCAACGATTTCGTCGGGCTTCTGGGAGCAGCCTCATTTTGGCCACTCACTGTCTATTTCCCAATTCAAATGTACATTGCACAAGCCAAGATTCCTAAATATTCATTTACCTGGATTTGGTTGAAGATATTGAGTCTTGTGTGCTTGATTATCTCGCTCCTTGCTGCTGCTGGATCTGTTCAAGGCCTTATCAAGTCTCTTCAGAAATTCCAGCTCTTTAAATCTGAGTCTTGAAGTTCCTGTGACTAATGTGTATAGAATAAGGATGGAAGAAAAAATCTCCATCTTTCAACCTTCCTTTTATTTATATTTAGTGACATACAGGACAGTTTTCCTTTACTTACTTAAAGGCATAAACATTTGTACTATGTTGTAAGACTTATTTCCTAGCTTTGGTGTTACAGTGTTGCAATAGTTTGATACAGTTAATACTTGTTATGAAATGTTGCTATAGGTTTCATTTGGATCCAATGATATGAGATTATATTTTATTGCACACAGAATTTGACTACTTGCAAGGAAATTATTTCCCTTCTAAACATTTTTCCCTAAACACTTCATAATCAATTCAAACAGTTTACTCTTTCAGCAATCGTGCAACTGGGATGAGAAAAGTACTAATTTAGGACTGATGAACACCTTCAATTGATAAATTGATCCTATCCAGAATAAAGTTTTCACATTAATATTATAACTATAGCATTAAAATTTCAAGTACCATCAAGTACATAGAATCACTATCTTCATTGAAGCATGTTGAAAAAAATCAAGAGTATCCTATCGACTGAGACTCTCACTCTCATCTAACTCGTGGGCTATCATATCAAGCTTGACTTCTAACGAATTTCTGGGGACTTCCCATCGAAGGGATCAATATACAGAATATACAGTATGTGCTTCAGAATGGGAAATCTTATCTGGTTCACATTTTTTACAAATTTTACAGTCACAGAAATAAGATTTCTCAGTTAACATGAGTATCATCTAGGTATCACGGTAATGTCCAACCAGAAAATGAGATAGAAACCTTTACTTAACACTTGAACGGGTCTAACTTTATGAAACAAGCAGCTACTCAATTTAGAGGCGGAGCTGTCTGTGATATCCTCTCTTCTTCGAGTAGTACATAAGGATCAATATATGGTGGTGGACCAAGTCTGTTGCTTGCATCGTGGACAAATTGAGGTCCAAAATACTGCCGAAAGAGAAGGAAGCAGTCAATGGTAAATCAGGAATATCAATAAAACTGGCAGCTGATCATAATACATCCAAAAGCATAGGAAACGAGAATTAGTGGGCTCAACACGCTTCAAATATAACCTCCACAAAACCAAATAACATGTGAGGTACGTTTAACTCGTGTACCTGTTTTAGTTTCTTTCCTGAATTTTATTTTTGGTATAATTCCTTTTTTCCCCTGCTTTCTTGGAGGTCCATATCATGCCATTTGTGATCCTAACTTTTATAATATATGTGTACTCATCACATAGTTTGAATTGATGAGAATACAATCTGGAGTACTACCTTTGTTTGGCCACATTTTTGCTGGATATTTTTCTTTGGCTCATTTTTCTTTTTCTTTTTTAATTTTTTTTGTTTTTTGCGCTTTAATCATCATCTCTAAATTTTTCTACTTAGAACAATCATAATACCTCAAAACAATCACGATACGTTTCACAACTATTATATAAGTTTATTTATTTTCCCGTTTATTTTTTGATGAGGTAAAGCCCATCCCCCAAAGTTTCCCCTAATTAAATAGCCCTTTCCCACTTCCTTCTCTTAGTGACCAACCCACCAACCATAAGATTACAGGTGAAGGATCCTTATCACTAGGATATACCTTCCTCGTCTCATGATGGCTACAATGATAAAGCAGGCACACCAGTAATTTCCTAAATCTCGATATTAGAACCAATATAAAGATTTAGGTTGCAAGATAGTAAAATAAGGATAAAGCTCTATGCTCCATAACACTTAGAAATTTAATATCATGTTGACTACATGTCTCTGCTAAAAGAAAAGGCACATGAACAGGGGTCTCACACTTGCAGCAGATGCAACATGTGCAAGACTGAAGTAGAGGATGTCAACCATTTATTTCTTCACTGCACAGTTGTCAGGATTATTTGGGACATGTTCCTCACTATTCTTGGTATTCATCGGGTGACACCATACTCCGTAAAGACAGCTTTTACCAATTGGGGGTTGTGGAAAGTAAAGAAAACAGTTAGAAGCTCCAAATGCTTCAATGGAAAGGCTTTGCACATTACCCAGATGAAGTAAAGATGTTTGACAAATCCTTTTTGTTGGATTAAATTGAATTATGTTAATGATGTAAATCAGCTGATAGATTTTGTTGGCTCTCTGTATTTTTGTTGAGAGCCTTATACTTTTGTAACTTTGTATTTTTGCATCTTCCAGATGCTCATCAATAAAAACCTTACTTCCTCCCCAAAGAAAGGGCAAATGAACAGCTAAACAAGTATCATACGAGAACAAACATATTTTTTCTTATTCTTCGATGATTTTTTTAAGTCATTCCAAGATAAGCAGCCCAAAAAACTTGGTATAGCAAAAAAATAAAATGCACAAGTTAAGTAATTGCAGCTACCCCTTTAAACCAAAGATGTCAGAAACATACACAAAGATCCCCGAAATAAATTACCAGGTATACAGCAGAGAAAGAAGCAATAGTTGCGAGGATCAACGGCCAAAATGACAAAAAGAATGTCCCCCCAAGAGTAAGCAAAAGTTTTGCCCGCGGAATCAGACCCTACACAAAAAACAAATTAAGATGTCTGATCATCAGTTACAAACCCATATACAGTGAACTTAAATTATGTCAACTCATTAAAATGTATAAAATAATATATTTAATAACTCTTTGCACATCTTTCATATGATTGTTTTCTCAAAAGCTGATTACTGCAACTCCTGTTCCAAAATAGAAAGGCCCTATTTTCCTTTTTGGTAAGTCATACTTCTTAAATACAAATTTTCCTATATTTTATTCTTCAAAACATATCAAGTAAAAAATGCGACCAAAAATTCGAGGTGAAGGGAGAAACTCATAATATTATCAGTTCAAGAACCACCAAATACATACTAACAATGAACGGCATTATTGATCATCTGGAACTAAATTCAGATAATGTATTAGGAGAAGGAAGTCTGCCGACCTCAAGGCCTTCACTATTCAGTGCCATAGACTGCTCCCTTTGATTAGTCAAATTTCTTCCAGAATCTGTTGAGAGTGCATTTCTTCTATAGAAGCCTCTATCTTCTTCCCTAGATATTGTCTCCTCGTCTTCTTTGATGTTTGTGTTTGTCTCCTCAAGCAATGAAGTTGGAGTCATGCCACGTCTTCTCAACTCTTTCATGAACAATGACTCTGGAGGTTCTTCACCTGTGAGTCACCAACACTGGATTTGAGGCTCTTCTTAAATAAATCAAGAGTATATTCAAGTAACATTCAGAAATATTCTGTAATGAGAAGCCAGAGTTGCTGCAACTTTCAAAGACTTGCGTTTTGTGTTTTAATACATTTTTAAGGGATTCAACCTTAAGATATGTAGGAATTCCCAGCAAAAGCTGAATTGTTCAATCACTCTGGAATAGATCAACGGAAATAGCTCACCTAATAGCCCGTCCAATATTTAATTCTACGTTTGACGCTTTCCCCTTTTGCCTGAAATATTTCAAATTCTTCTGTTTTCTCTTAATTATCACGGCCAGGACAATCAATCCTATGGACCTCATAACGGGAGGCAATTGTTTGCAATCAATTAACTGATACTTCACTTTACCTATCAGTACTTGGTTTCTGATCTAGCCACAAATTATTCAACCTCTCTCAATTTTCATCAAACTCAATATCTCCAGTAATTGAAATAATTGGAACTGGACAAGCAAACATATGCTAGAAATGAAATCATGTCACACACGTTATCATATCCAATACCACTAAAAACAAGGATTTTTCTGATCAAAGAAAAAAAGGCTTTTTGAAACAAATTTCAATTTAGAAAGATTACCATTACTACTCTGGTTTCCACTGTCTTGAACTCTACAACAAACCCTAAACTTTGTATCAACAAATGTATTCAAGATTGGATTTTTCCTCTGAAACCTCACACGCAGAAACCTCCTTCGGACCATGGTGCTAAAAACATCAGGATTGGATTGAGAAAATGAGAATGGAGACTTCAATAACTGGAAAGACGCCATTTTTAAGATGATCAAATTTCCTCCAAATGAAATTAAAATATTACAATTCCATTACAGAAACTTTAGCAGTAGTAGAAGCTAGAGTTCAAGAAGCTTCACTTCATTAGTGAAACGGCGGCAGAGGATTACTGTTTGTCACTCAACCTGGGAGGTGTACCTTAGAATTTTTCAGCAATGTGTTGGCAATTTTGTAGCCATAATATAACTAGAGTTGAGCAATGATCTTGTGTGTCGCCATCCTAGCTAATTACTTACGCTGCACCTAACCAACCAACCAGCTTTTCTTTTCTTGCAAAAGTCTCCAAAAATTGTTGTCATGTTCTTTCTTATATTCATTTGCTTTATTTTACTTAATATTTGAAAATATATTTTATTCACCATTTTATGATAAGAATTTCACTCCCATTCTTTTTTAAAAAGAATGACGAATTTGAAATATAAGAGGTGCAATATTTAACTACTCTTAAGTATTAATCAAATCTATTAAGAAAGTGAGGTCAAAAAATTATAGTAGTAAAAAAGAAATGTTTTGATTCTCTACATTAATTCATAGACATTTCTGAAAATATTTAATTTGAATTTTAAAACTGTGAATTAATTTAGGTTGTAATTGTTTTAAGTCAAAAAATTGATTAGATTGACCCCTGATAAATAAATAAAAATCACATACATTGGGAGAGATTTAGTTAGTGTATTATATTTTATAAAACATTTTTTTATTATATATAGGGGTAGGGGAAGGAAAAATAGGAAAAAGATTAAAAGATCGAAATCAAACTCATACCAATAAGGTGTCAGGTAATCAATCAACTAAGCTACTGAGATCCTCCATTAGTATTATATTTACAATTTCTATCTAATAAGTTACTATTATATTTATATTTAGATGTGCTCAAAATAAGACCCCGCTTTCAAGAAAGGAGAAACAGAGGGCCAACATAAACAACAACAACAATCCAGTATAATCTCACTAGTGGGGTTTGGGGAGAGTACTGTGTACGCAGACCTTACCCCTACTCTGGGGTAGAGAGGCTGTTTCCAATAGACCCTCGGCTCCCTACCTCCAAGAACTCTCCACCTTGCTCTTGGGGTGACTCGAACTCACAACCTCTTGGTTGGAAGTGGAGGGTGCTTACCACTAGAGTAACTCACTCTTGTCACCCGAGAAACAGAGGGCAGAGATGCAAATATGCT